TACTGATATTCATCTCAATGATGTCATGGCATCTTTTTTAGTGTCCGAGGGTCGAGTCGTCTTCCAACTCATTGAAAAAGCAACAACTCGTAATCGTACTCGAAGCTACGCCAGGAAACTCTAGACATCAGCTCGCATCAAAGACTTCTGGCGTCTTTGCTTTGGGTTCAGGTTAATGTTACCTTTGTTACATATCATGTTTGAAGAGACATTTCTAAACTGTATGACGATCTTAGTGAAAGAAGTTGCTCCTCCAGGATTCGAACAAGTGTGGAAACATACCTATTCTAATGGATTAGATGCAAGGAAACAGCTGTTGTGAGAAGACAAACTTATGCAATGAATGTTACTCTCCCATTGCGCACAAAGAGCTTATCATAATTCCGTCGAGTGATATCATGCTACCATTTCTCCTTCCACTGGATCAATCACCATTTTCACACCATTGCTACAAACTAGGCAGTCTGAATACACACATGGTCTTTGAGGTGCACCACGAATCCTTCATAGCAAGCATTTACTGGCTCGAGATCGCTTGTCTGTTTCAAATATGTTGGAAGTCGAGGATTGTTCTGCTTACATGTTTCTGACACGAAGTGCTTAGAAGGACATCCTATTCTACTCTCTTCTATTACTGAGACGGGCGCCATAGCCTTGGTGATCCCCCTTCTGAACTACCCTATTAGCTCTTAACACTTCTACTTCTATAAGGCAGCGTTCAGTCTTGGCGACAGCAGAGCTTCAGTCGCGCCTTCGACGCGATCAATGCGCATGCTTTCAACTGCATTTATCGCGTTGAACGCGCGACCGAAGCGCTGCCGTCGCGAAGTCTGAACGCTGCCTAATGTATCACTGCTTAGCGGCAGCGTCTTATTCTGGCTGTGACACGCCTCCATCACTTCTCAGTTTGGAGTTGTCGCATAGCAAGTTCCGACTCATCGGTCAAACGGCTATCACTCTATTTTATAAAGCAAAAGTTTTGTGTGTCGGTTTGTCCCACTTCTTGACTTGTGCGCACATAACATCTCGACAAGGCAATTCGCTTTTGTTCCCGTCTAGGTCTTGACCTGGCCGTATGTGGTGCTTGTTGGCTGCGTATCTTCGCGAGATTTGATAGTAGACTACTGTGCTCCTTGACAAACAGCGTCGTGCATAGATGCCATTTTGCGTCGAGCTCCGACTACGCCACTCCAACGCACATGAGTCGGCGCTTTTTAAGGGCTTGAAAGATCCACGGGTAACGATGTCAACCCGTTCCCCTCGCATGTGGCAAGGAATGTCAGGAGTGAGCGTTCGTTTCGGTCTTCAAGCACGTGTACCTTTTGACGAATTTTGAAAAAGAAGTTGTGATTTTGTGGACTTTCTGCTTGTAGCTCAGATATTTTTTCCAGATCAGTGAAGGAAAACTACGGCGACGATTGAAATAGATGTGGCAGCCAGCCAAGCCCAAGGATGAATCTAAGAAGCCAGATACCGGCAAATCTCCCGAAAGTAAAACGAAAGAGGTGCAATCTGCAGAATCCAAAAAGGCTAAGGAAGTAGTTGCACCTCTTAGTAAGGAAACTGCAAAGAAGAGTGAGAAGGAAATCCCATCGTCTTGTTCTTCGAAAGGAGTGAGCCCTGCTATGAAGAGTCCGAAAGAACCCGTGAAAAAAGACGGAGCAACGGCTGAATTGACTATCACACAAATCGATATTGATTCACGCGGGAGAAAGACGATTTTAAAGATGTGGAAATTAGAACAAAGCCAGTGTTTGGCAGAAGATCAAAATTTAGTGAGTGTTTCTTTTGTATGCGCTAGTGGGAACTAGAGTTCAGATTCCTCCATAATCAACTTAGAACCAATTTTCAACTTTTAAATTCGCTCCTTTTTTTCAAACCCAAAAATTCGTCCTTTTTCAAACCAAATTCGCCCTCACTTTTCATCAAGTTAACCACACTTATTAGGGCGGGCAACTCATCAACCAGATCACGCCAGACATCACTGCGAGCCCCGCCCCGACGGCCACGCCCACTTGTCAGCGCGGACATAGATTCGTCAAACCCAAATCTTGTTTCATAACTTCTGCTTTTGCTGTTCCCACAAACACTTTGACTGGAAACCACCGTGCATTCACACATGGCCGACTCCGCCCATTCTCTAAAGGGTTTGGCACTCTAGGCTGACCACGCCCACTGGCTTTTCGCGGAATTTCGATGTTTTTTTCAAAATTTTTGCATTTTAGGGTTGCTGCGTGAAGCCCCGCCCACTGTGAGATGCTCCGCCCACTTTGAATGAAGCCCCGCCACTTTTTCAAAAAATGGTGGTGCAGATCGGCAGTATAGAGACTTGGCTTGCATGTTAGGGTCTCGTACGTCACTCGGAACAAGAAAATCCGGCAAAGTTTATTCCGAATGATCAGCAATACCCTAACATGCAAGCCAAGTCTCTATACTGCCGATCCGCAAAAATTCCTGACCCGCATTTTTGAAGTGGGCGGCTTATTCAGAGTGGCATCTCACAGTGGGCGGGGCTTCACGCAGCAACCCTAAAATGCAAAAATTTGAAAAACATCGAAATTCCGCGAAAAGCCAGTGGGCGTGGTCAGCCTAGAGTGCCAAACCCTTTAGAGAATGGGCGGAGTCGGCCATGTGTGAATGCACGGTGGTTTCCAGTCAAAGTGTTTGTGGGAAACAGCAAAAGCAGAAGTTATGAAACAAGATTTGAGAATCTAGGTATAAATCATGATTTGGGGATCTATGTCCGCGCGCTGCAAACGTGGCGTGGCGCGTCGGCGCTCGCAGTGATGTCTGGCGTGATCTGGTTGATGAGTTGCCCGCCCTAATAAGTGTGGTTAACTTGATGAAAAGTGAGGGTGAATTTGGTTTGAAAAGGGGTGAATTTGGTTTGAAAAAGGACGAATTTGGTTTGAAAAAGGACGAATTTGGTTTGAAAAAGGACGAATTTAAAGTGAAAATGGTATATATTCCGTGATCCCTGCAAACGAAGGCTCGTGTGACGAATGCATGCTATAGTAAGCAGGCCGGGTGCAGATTTCAAAAATCAGTTTCAGGCTCAGGATGACATCGCCGGTGGGAAAAAGCGACCTGGGTGCTCCGCGATCCGCGCCGCGTCGCAAGTCTACCGTTTACATGGATCATGTCTGCACTTACGCGCTGTCGCGTTTTTCAGAAGTCTGGATCAAAATTTGTAAACTTGGCCTGATCGATGTTCGTAGGGATATTCCTGTTAGAGATCCAAGTAAAACGGGGCCTAATCTCGAGAAAACTTTCCTCAGCATCCCGGAAAGCAGGATCAGAAGGTTAAATCGCCAGTTGTTCTCACAAAGTACACCATTATTCAGCTGCAAACGCAATAGGGCGTGTTAAGGGAGGTGGGGGGGGGGGGGGTGAGTGGAGGGAGCGAGGTTGGAGCGCAGCAGCACGCAACGGCCATTCGACTGCCGCTGACAGTGCTGTATAAAGAACTTCGCGCGATTCTGATATTTGGGGTGAAGTACGGAAACAAGACATTTATCGGTGTGTTGCAGAGCGGTCGAAGAGGTGATTGGTGAAGGATTCAAGCACAGTTTTCCACTTCAGTTACAACGTTACTGTAATAAAAAAATAAACTCCACATTACTAATTTACATTTAAATAAATGATTTGCAAATTTCTCTGTTCCCTTATGCACAAGCACACTGGAGAAGCGAAAAGTGACAATTTTCCTCTCATCAGACACGAGCAACTGGCTGAGAGACCACGTGATACTGGATGTGATTACTTTTCCGAACATTTGCGTGATCCTATGCTGGCAGCGTTACCAGAACACTCATTGTCAGTGCTGACTGCTTCTGTAGCGCTACGCTTTTCTTCTTGCATAGCAGTGGCAGACAACATGTCGTAAAACATGCCAAACAGACTATAGCATAAACAGTCGGATCGCTCCGGCTTACGCCGAGCTCTCCTTCTCTTTAGCCCGGCTTCGCCGAGGCTGGCTTGCTTCCCAGGCGCACTTTCACGGAAACGGAATTTTTCATTCACTAAGCTGCTCATATTGCACAGTATTGAACGAGTCATAGCAGATAGAGCAACCTAGCGAAGCCTGAGTCCACGCTTATTCACAGAAGGGGTGGTGGTTTGAGCCAGAAGGCCCATACCTCACATACATCTATAGATATAGATAGAAAATAGAGTCGTCCCATACACTGCAACATGAGTTGCTCAGTAAATGCACGAATCTTCGCTTCCTCTATTCTTATTTATTTCACTCTATTTATTCACGCCAGTTCTACTACCATCAATGCCATTTGTCATGGCGCACAAAGATTGTAGATGCTCAATGTTTGTCACAAGAATGCTGAGTTGTGGGCAAAAGTCGTGCCCCAGGCGGGAGTCGAACCCGCACCTCACGCTTTCCGGGCGAGTGCGCTATCCGTTACGCCACCAGGGCCGCTTTTACCCTCTCAGCTTAACGGCTTTTATGCCGTAGCCTATCAGCACTCACACGTTTAACTTGGTGAGCGTGGTAGATGCTAATGTTTTTGCTAAGTACGTTAGTTGTACATTCTCCTCGTCCCCTTTATTCATTTCCATCAGTTCTTGAACGCTTGAAAGTGAAAGGTAATGAGGGAAAGATGATATCACATTCAAAACATTACCTCGAATTGATACCACGATATGACTGGTTCGCAACTCTGCTAGCGGTGGGTTCTTCTGCTCTTCAACCTATGTTCCGCTGAGTATGGGTGTGCTCGTGTGAAACGCACTCCACACTTTCCAATCTACACGTCGCACCACGGCCCCGCCCCTCCAGTGTCACAATCCCTTCTCTACCCTGATCCATCCAGCGCTCACGTCCAGGCTGTCCCGCTAGCTTGTGCAACGGCTCTGAATACACCAAATGGTTGTTTTATATAGTGCAGTGTGTAATCAAACTCGCAATACTACCTTGAACTGATAGCACATGACTGGTTCGCAACCCTACTGGCAGTTGGACCATCCTTTCTCCAACAGCGCTTCACTATTGCTTTTGTGCCCACAGTAGTGATGTGCTCTTGCTAAAGCGTACTCTAGGGTCGCCCTCCCCCTCTCCTATGTAACTCGCCCATTAACGTCCAACCATCTTCCGACACCCCTTCCTCACCCCTCGCCGTAGCTTTCCTACCCTGCCCACTGGCAACGTGCTGCGTCGCAGTGCCACGCGCAGCAAACGCGCGCAATGCGCTCGATTCCAAATATCAATCAAATGGCTAGGACTTATCATCTGCGCAACGCTACTGGTTGATCCTTCTTTTCTTCTATTGCCCCCGCCCCGCGCTTTGCGCTGATTTTCACCGCTGGTGTGGGTGCCCCTGTTGAAGGCGCAACTCTAGGTCCACCCTTGCTCACTTCCTCGCCACTTTCTTCCACATACCTGCCCTCGGCCCTGGCCTTTCCCTACCGCCACCCACGTCTTATCTGCACATCGAGCAGCCCATTACCTCACTTCCCTCGCCACGCTTATCGCTGCCGCCGCCTCCCCCCCCCCTCCACCTTCTCCCTATGCCCCCCAACCTTGCTCTTCCTACCCTGTCCCATTGCACCCACGCCCAGCTGCCACGCGAGCAGCCCGTGCAATGGCTCGGAGTGCACTAAGTGGTTGTCTTATATAGTGGTGTTATCGCAAAACATTGGATGATACATCTTCATCCGAAAAGTTTCTGGACTGGCTAGCAGTAGTTTTCTCCTTTCATGTCACATATTGAATTCCCGTGAATCTATTTTTTTGGCGGACGACAAAAACATCCTACTATTACAGCGGTGTGTGTGTGTGTGTGTGTGTGTGTGTGTGTGTGTGTGTGTGTGTGTCACGAAATTCATAGCGAGCGTCGCAGAAAAGATAGGATGACAGTTCCAAGAAGTGATATACATGGCAGGACGGGAACACTTTTGGTGGGTGTCAGGAGGTGATAACACTTGATAAGATTCGATAAGGGGCCTTCGACAGGGGGGACCGAAACTAGTAGCGGCAATTTCGCAGGCAAGCTGCACGGACCGTGTCTTCCAAAGAAAAGTGATATACATGTCCACCAGACGGAACACTTTAGGTGCGTGACAGGAGGTGATGACACTTGATAAGATTCGATAAGGGGCCTTAGAAGGGGAGGGTGACCGAAATCGTAGCGCAATTTGCAGCAGCTGCAGGACCGTGATTTCAAGAAGTGATATACATGGCAGGACGGGAACACAGGTGCGTGACAGGAGGTGATAACACTTGATAAGATTCGATAAGGGGCCTTAGAAGGGGGGTGACCAACATCTAGCGCAAGTTGCAGCAGCTGCGGACCGTGATTTCAAGAAGTGATATACATGGCAGGACGGGAACACTTTTGGGTGACAGGAGGTGATAACACTTGATAAGATTCGATAAGGGGCCTTAAAAGGGGAGGGTGACCGAATTCGTGGCAAGTTGCAGCAACGGCGGGACCATGATTTCAACTGATATGCCGTAGGGTGGGGCTGGCAGAAGCTGATAACAGTTGATAAGATCCGATAAGGGGCCTCGGAAGAGGAGGGTCATCAGATTCGTAACGCAGGTTACAGCAACAGTGGACCTCTGATCCGAGAGGCGATACAGGGTGATATGATAGTGATACGGGACGGGAGTGTTATTGGCGGGTACGGAAGTGATAGGAGCTAAAATTGACAAGGTAGCATGGGAAAATCCGCTTCACCGCTCACAACAACAATGATATGACTCAAGTATAACGATCTCAGTGATTCCAACAGAACTCATTCCTCACTGCTTATTAGTAACGACATCGTGTACGACCGCTAAGCCAGCTCTATTCCAAATGCATGTGGTTTGTTTACAGAGATGTTATGAACAGCAGCAACTGACTTTATCACTCTTACCACAATTATCTTCCATCAGCAACTTCAGTGAGGGCCATTTAAAGGGTTCCACTGCTGAATGCGGTAGTGCATTCCAAAGCAAGACGCTTTAGGAAGACAGATTGCATAATTATAGGCTGCTTCAGTGGCTGTCCAAACAGGCTGCACTATTTCCGTGTAGGTTATGAACGTACCAGTCGGATCGCTGGCTAAGGCCGGCTTTCCTCCTTCTGTGATGCGGGGGGGGGGCGCTGCTGCTGCTTCTGCGCCTTGACGGAACAAGCGCTGCTTTTCAGTTCTTGGCTGATGCAGAAGATTCCTTTGAACAGTGTGGTTGGTCAACGATCCTTAACTTAGCACGCAGCAAATCCGCATGGCCCGGCGAAGCCGG